GCTAGGAAATTCCTGTAGGAAAGGGAAAGCAGGAAAGGCCCAAAGGGTGGGGGGGCCTCAGGCCACAGGAAAGCTCAAATTTGGGGAACCTTCGAGGCCCATTTCCTTGGGTGACTGAAGTGGGAGGATTGAGGTTGCGCCGGGCAGCGCTCTTTGTCGCGTTTCTTCTCCGCTTCTCGCCCCCAATAGCGGCAGTCGATTTGCCAGGCCGTGGTCTGGAGAAGTCGAAGATCGAAGATACGATCGCGACGCGAAAGCTCGTTCTTGACCCGATCTAGGAGTCCGGCGTAATAGCGGTAGCGGAGCGCGTTCTCGTCCCAACCGGTCCGAGCGGTGTAACGATTGAAGTCCAAGTTATACTTATGAACCTTCTCCGTCTGCCTGAGGGTCTCTAGCGTCGCCGACCGGGTCGGGAGAGCCGAAAACCGAAGTGAGGTCGTCAATGAACCGCTGGACGTTTGAATACCAGGTGGGAGGAGGAAGGCCCGCCATAGTAGCCATAGAGAGCTGATCCTCGAAATGCTGCTGAGGGGCCCCCTTCAGGTAAGATTTCATCCAGATAACTTTGTCGGTTTCGCCGTTGAAGCTCTGGAAACGCGAGCCGATGTAGGCCGAGCATTGGCTGATAAACATGTCGAGTTTGGTGGGGTCTGTGCCATCGAAGGGGTCCGGGGTGCGAACCTTCGGCCGATCCTTTGGTTCCGAAGATTTGTTGGCAAGGATGTTGAGCAGGCGGGAATGATCATTCTGGGTTTGGCGCATGAACATCGACATATAGCGTGCAAGTTCCGCCGCGCCCATGTCTTCGATTGGCATTTCCAGTGACGGGCCGCGAGGTGTGTGAGGGTCCCGGGGCGATGAGGGGCTTGGAGGCGGGGGTGGACCGCCACCCCCTCCACCTCCTCCACCATCCAGGTCATCAGGGTCGCCGTCTCCTCCGCCGCCGCCACCTTCGCCGCCATGATTTGGATCGTTAGGATCCCCTTCCTCGCCCTCTTCCCCTTCTCGCTCCCCGTTGTGGTCCTTCTGGCTGCCTTCTCCTTCTTCTCCTTCCTTTCGGGGAGTTCTAGGAGCGGCCGTCGGCATTGCGGGGGGATTGTCGGGAAGTTGGGAATCAGTGTGGGGATCGGCTATTTCTTTGCCTTTCTTCTTGGCGTCGATCTTGATCCGTTGTTGAACCTTTCGTTTTTCCTTGAGATGTGCGGAGATAGATTGGGCATTCGGGTCGAGTATTGCAGTAACTTCGTCGGCGGAGTCCGACATATGAGGATAGTACGGAAGTGGGTCGAAAGCACCCGGAATAGGTTGTACGGTTGGTGTAGGAATGAATGAGCCGGGATAAGGTCGGATTGTGCTGTACGGCTGGAAGGCCGATGCAGCCGGAGGAAGTGGGTAAGCACTTGCAAACGGATTGTTCGCCGGATCGATGCGAGCCGGTGGGTGATTATAAGTCGAAGGTCGGATAGTCTGATGGGCCTCCAAGAAGGCCTGATCTTGACGTTTGCTGCGGAGCTTCCGTTGATGCTCCTCAGCCATAGGTTGTGCGCGTCAGGGGAATTCGGATAATACTGTAAGATACCGTGACTGGATCCCGCCGAGGTTCGGCGGCCGAGCTATCCGGTAGACTGGTGTGCAAGGAGGACGCGGGCTCAGCGTGCGTGCGCTGGTCCGACGCGACACAACGAGTCCCTTGAAGATGTGACCGAGTACAATAGAGGTAAAGCGAGGTTGTCAGAGTAAGAGTTGGATGATAGGAAATCTGTTCGATTATCCGAATGCTGAATACAGGAGAGTGTAACCAAGTTTATATACTAGAGTCCGAGATGATAATTATAGAATGCGGCGAGCCGCCGGACCGCCGAGGGATAGCCGAAGGCCACCCACCGGGTGTCTGCAGGAAGCAACGGGAACGTAGAAGTACAGAGGCGGGAGTCCATAGGAAAGCATGTGAACGGGAACCGAGACAAGGCGAGTGCGAATGGGAATGTGCTGAGGTTTGCGAGATGAACGATAGCCGAACCGAGGAGGCGAGGTCTACGGACCTCAGCCGAGGTGGATGAACGTTCCGGTCGGCATATTGCGTCCGCCGAGAGACGCCGAGGTCGCGGGATGTGACAAGCTCAAGCCTCAGTAGGGGGTTCCAACCAGGCAAGAAGAGTGGGCAAACAGTGAGTGGAAAGAAAGAGATGGGGGAAGAGAAGAGAAGAGAGACAGAGGAGAGGGTGAAAGAGGACTTTGATCCATCTAACCCTAACCCTCTAGTGTACTTGAGTAGCCTGGTTTTGGGAGCTGGGCTGTCTGGTTCAAACCCCTTGCTGAAGTTTGAGCAGGGTGTTTGAACCAGACAAGGGAAGTGATAAAGAGAAAGAGGCAGAAGGAGGGACAGGGCCAAAGGGACACAAGAGACCTTTGATCTGCATGGAGAGCGGCACTAGATGCAATCTAATCAACGGAGTTGTCGATCAGCGACGACAAAGGCAGAGGCAGAGATGATGGAGCGGAGAGGCTCAACCAACTAGTAGTGGAACTACAAGTCGAGAGCAGAGGCGGAGAGAAGCTTAGAGCAGAGAGATGATGAGTAAGGTGTTGTATTGACAAGGAGGTCAAACTGAGGAAATACAATGAGAGCGAGCAGTCTTATATACCCTACAGTATGTGCTGAGTCGTACTAAGTCAAAGGCCGTGGTGAGTCATGCTGACAGAGAAGAACAAGAAAGCTGCGCAAGGCAGCACGAAGGCTAAGTAATTGTATCAGGCATAACAATAGAAATGAGTCAGGCTGAGTAACAGGATGATAAAGAAGGGTCGGGCTGTGCAGAACTTAGAAGGCAATATGCATAGCTGAAGGTGAAATAGTAAGCAATGGTAAAAATACGGAAAGGAACCATCGGGACAAATGAACGAAGATGAAAGAGATAGGGGTAACAGAGATAAGATGGGAAGCAGATCAAGATAAGATAAAAGGAGAAGATAGGGGCAAAAAGATAGAGGCTAACCAGTGTCTGTGACATGATCCATCTAGCCCTAACCCTAACTTTACACACTCAGGGGCTTCCTTTCAGCACTAGCTGTAACACCCAGACTGTGTTGTGAACACGGTCAGCCCCTAGCCCCTATCTCGTGCCCCTATTTTTGTTTCATCTTATCGCTTTAACCCCTATTTTCCCTTTGGCTCCGTCTCGGCATGGACACTTTCACTATGGCACGCTGCCTCGTTATCCCTTTGTTACATTTCATTCTTCTCTGCTAAAGGTGCTGCCTTATGCACAGCCCTTTGATACTTCTATTCATTCATCTCCCCAACTCATTTCTATTGTATCATTCTTCTTCGCACTGCCTCACGTAGCCTCGCTCGGCCTTGGGCGGTTTCCATCCTTCTCCTTGTTCTTCTCTACGCTGCCTTACACAGCTTCGTGCGGCCTCAGGCCACTCTTTGTCATTCTATTGTCTTTTCGCTTATTTGTGTCTTGGACTCATCATGGCTATGCACATGTTCTGTAGAAGTATATAAGCTAGCTAGTATGCTCTGTATTTCCTCAGCTTGACCTCTTCGTCAATACACCGCTTAACTCGCATTCCAACTGCTCTGCTCCCTGTCCTGTCCTCTGCTGGGTATCTGTGGCTATTCCCACTTATACTTAAGTCAGCCGCTCCGCTCCTATCCTCGTCGTCACCGATCGACTTCGAGTCTCGTCTGCTCACTCTCGTTCACCGTGTGGTGTTCGACTCAGTCCGCTTAGGTCTTCTGACACGTACTTCGCGACAGACTGTTCCACCGCACACAGTGTTCCCAATTTAGACCAGGCTTGTCTATAACGGTCAGCCCCTTTCCCTATATATATATTTCACCTTGCCTATCTCAGATCCCATTCTTCCTTTTCCCCTTTCATAGATCCCCTCATCGATTCATCCTATCTATCTCTAGCTAGACTCTACCTTATCTCGATTCAGAGAATACACGTTTGTCCCATTCATTGCTTGTTCTCTGAGTGAAGACCCCAGTCTTACACTTTTTTTTGAATTCAGACAAACACCTACCCCCCACTGCCCACTGCCCATCGTCGCCATCGTCGCGATTCTGCTCAACCGCCCCCACCGTTCACCGCCTTTGCTGCTGTACCGTTTCTACTGTAAGTCCGCCACTGTCCATCACTACATCACCCTGAAGTGACTAACCCCAGATGAAGCGAGGCACGAGAGGCCGCTCTCGCACCAAGGCTCCTCTGCCACCTGTCTCTACCCACAACGAGGACAAGGTCGACTTCTCCAGCGTCGAAGACAACGATGGGAGTGCTCTGGGACGTTACATAGACTCGACAAACCTCGCTGCCTCCTCATCACGCCTAGGCGATATCGCTGCCTCGTCTTCACACCTAGATGATATCACAGGCTCCCCTGTCCACCACCTCAATGACGAACTCTTCTCGGCGCGCTCCCCAAGCCCCGCCCGGACCATCAGGCCCTACGACCCCCTTCCCCTGCCCGTGGTCAACCCTCCCTTCCAGCAACTCCAACCCAACCGTCCCACTGCGTCAGTCACCAGTACCAGTGGGTTGTCACCCCCCGGAAGAAGTCTGGGTTAACATCGGCCGAGGTTTGGCTGCATCTGGGTGCAAGGTGAATGCTTGTAGGGGCTCAGTTTGCATATTAGAGAGTCCAGACTCGGACAGCTCGGTGCCGACAGGGTCCAGAGATTGGGGATGTGACACTGGATTGAGAAGCCACCTGGCTACAAGCCAGACAACAAGGTGTGATCATTGCATGCCACTGCCGAGCCTGCTCAATATATCTGACAGCTCTTGCTTGAGCTAACACAACAATGCTGGGACAGAAGTTCTGCACAGTTGCATGGCATTCTTACCACTCTTCACCTTTTCTGGTGCCTGGAGTTTGGACTTGGAACATGCCTAAACAATAGGCCAATGTTTTTGGAGGCACTTCTTGGTTGATTTGCCTGGTGCTCTGTCTGTCTGTCTGTCTGCCTGTCTCCCAATAAAAATTCCGACTTGCCTGGTTCGAACAGGCGACACCCAGATTATGCCGTGGGAATTCTCCGTTACAGTCTGATGCTCTTCCAACTGAGCTAAAGTCGGTTGAGAGGACAGAAACACGTTTGCGTCATGTTCCCGCAAACTGTGCGCAGTTGTTTTTCCTGCAATTTGCCTTGCCACTTGGCCTCGGACGATTGGATACCTCTGGGTGTGCTCCGCATTCCCTGGTCTTCCTCTCCACCCGCTCCCTATCCTCCCACACCCCATGGTCCCTCCACCGCGGAAAGTGACTCAGACTCGGAGCCAGTCGCTGCTTGACGGTGGCCTCCGTTAAAATTCTGTGATATACGGTCAAGGTTTGAAGCAACGAAGTAATTCATTGAGTAGATAGAGACAGTACGATGACATGCAGTTAGAATAGCAAGCACAACTTATGTACGATAACAGTTAGTAAAGTAAGATGAGTGACGAAGTAAGCAAGAAAACCCTTGAAAGCACAAGACCCCATAGAAATAACAATCCATCAACCCTGATATGCAAAGGAAACGGCACCATAAAGACCATCCTCTCGTCCGAGCATTCCGTATCCGTGAAGAACCTAGCATAATCGTAAGCTCAAGGGCAAACATCAGAAGATAAAACACATACTAACCTCCATTTTACGAGCGTGCCAGCCAACGCCGCTGCTAACATTTCCATTGGCATCAGAGAGCTTCGCCATTTCGAGTCGATATGGATGCTCCATGGGTAGATCCCGCCGCAGCACAGCGCCGTCGCCAGACTCGGCTACCCATGCAGATGCCGTGTCCACATACCACCCACGTCCACCTTTGCTTCGGACGATACGCCACGCGCCTGCACCCCCTCCGATGGCGTTGAGCATCGAGTTGGAGAGTTCGATCACTCGTAGGCGCGTCGGCGGTGGGGCAGGAGCCGCGCAAGAGGTGAGGCTGAAGGAAAATGGAGGGGTGCAAAGTGGCCGAATGACCTTGGTATGCAGGTTGATAGAGGCCTGTCTCGAAGCAGCGGTGTCGAGTTCAGGCGAAGTGTTGACCAGGGTCAAGATTTCGACGTTCGGCGCCTTCTCGGTGACAAACTTGGAGATGGCGGCGACAGGAAGTGAGGGAATGTGGGAGAGGCCGAGAGATCGGAGCTTGGGCATAGGTTTGCTCTTCTCGATAATGTCGGCCGTAAATGGAGCGCTTGACATGTCGAGGTAGACAAGGTTGCCGTTTACAAGGGCAGGTGCTTCCGTCATGATCGAGAGAAGGTCTTCCGGAGTTACAGGAGACCCATAAGTCAAGTCACCATACAAGTTGAGTTCAGTGAGCTCTGATGTGACGGGCGACTCAACCAGGAATCGTCTGATGCTTTCGCTGCTCAGCTTGATGCATCGAGCCAAAGCAACTGACTTCAGATGGACAGTAGGGGAGGCGGACAAAACATCAAGGATCTCAGAAGTGATACGAGTACCCGAAACGTCGAGATGGGTCAGGTTGGGGAAAGACAAGAGGAAGGGACCCAAGTACCGTGGCAGCACGGACTTGACACCACGCAGCCCCAGCCGCTGCAACCCAGGGAAGGACATGGGCTCAGGAGCAGCCCATCGGACACGAGGCCGACGACCTGAAGAGCTCTCGTCTTCCTCACTGCTATCCTCAAAGTCGGCAACAAGGAGGTGAGTGCCAACAAACTCGGTGAACGCATTGACAAAGACTGCACTGATGCAACCTGTAAAGTCGACCGCTTCGAGATCCTTGCACTCACGCCTCCGCTCCCTGTCCTCCTCTTCAACTTCGCAGCCGTCTGCCTGACCGCGTCCACGACCTCCTCTCCCTCTGCCTCGTGAGGGATCTCCACGAAGGAATAGTTCGTTGAGGACCGGCAAGGTCAATGCGCCGTCCATGTATTCCGTGGCGCCAAAGGCAGTGAGGTTGGGCAATTCCTGTGACACTCTCAGTATTGTCAACCACAAGTTAGGACTGAGGGTACGCACTTTGAGAACGGCTTCCACACGCTCGCCGGTCACGAAGCGGCTATTAACACCCTCCTCGACCGAACGACGCATACCGATGGTCCGGAAATGGTTGAAGTCAAGATGCCGGACAAAGCGACCGGGGCGCGGATCTTTGGGGCTGGGGACTAAGAACGAGAATTTAGTACAAGACAGTCGAATGATGAAGCCGTACGAGACTCACAATACATTCCCGGATTGCGTTCCTCCAATGCATCTTGCATGGCGTCACTGATGGTCCTCACCAGCTTCCATCGGGCTGGCGATTTGCTTTTTGGGCGTAGCCGACGTGGGCTAGGATTACGAGAGGGTATCGGGGAGAGAAGATCAACCGGAATGGCGTCCTCAGGGACGTCTAGAACGCCGCGGAGACGTTCTTCAAGCTCACGAGCTTGGTCGGAAGATGAGGCGGTTCGTGCGGCCGCCTTGATGGTTTGGTCCAGAACGGTGTCGACCGTTTCTTCATCGTAGTTCCATGCGACTTGTTCAACCAAGGAGAGCCATGTCCGAGGCAGACGAACTTCGATGCTGGCCAAAAATCAGCTCCATAGACTCCTGTGGAGTTGGGTAGAAACTTACCGATGCCAAAGCCATGGTTTCGCTGCCTCGAGCCATGCATGGCTCACCAAGCACAGATTGGCTAAGGTATGCCTAACATCTGGCTCAGTCCAATGCCCCTGGGGAACAGCGGACGGTTGGCCAGTCGGTATACCCTTGCCGGCTACCGGGGGGTCGAGAGAGGACTCCGTCGGGGGTAAGCCAGAGGCATAGACCTGCGCACAGATGGCGGATAGGATTTCAAGGGGGTATTCAACGCCGGAATGAGTTTGAGCTGAGTGTTGTGACATTCAAAAGAAATTGCACAAGTAAATGGGAGCAAGAAAGAAAGTCTCGTCGGCCAAGCCGCATTTATAGGACCGTGGCCCATTAGTCACCCATGTGGGCTCTCTGACCTTCCAAATATGGCGTAGAATGTTTACGCCGAAAACCCTGCAAAAAACGGATCTTGCGCGCACAGGAACATGTCCGATGAGTGTTTCGACCCTTTTCACCAATTTAGAAAGGCTGAACCGCTTCAGACTTACCTCTAGGCCTTCTTGTGCTTCCCCAAACGATGGAGCAATGCAAAAGCTGATAGCTTTTGCCAGCTGTGACTTCACGTTGCTATTTTTATTCGACGAACGGTTGGTCGGACATACCGTAAACGGCTAACATGCCGTGCCTATGTTGCGTGATCCACACATCTGTGTCCTGGGTTCTTCCTTGATTTTGTATGTCGCCATCTTGCGCAGCTACCGCGACAATTCAAGAAATACTCCAGGTCGCCATTTTTTTGCTAGCCTTCTCCTCCACAGTGTCCTCCGAGGTAACATGCTGTCCAAGGCAACGTGCGATTCATGCCTGAGCCGTTCATATTAGCTGTTCATCTGCACCCCTGCTCGGAACGGCCCTAGCTTTCGGATCTTTCGAGGCGAATATTCTGGAAAGGCTTGCCTGGTCCTCCGGGCCTGTCCATCCATCAAAGGCTCTACAGGCACTTTAAGTGCTTAGCCTTTGCGTTCCCTAGGCTTGGAGAAAAGGCTGTTAGGAGTGCCGAACCGTCCTTCCGTATCCAATCGATTCAGAAGACGACGCACAAAAATACTTTGGCTCTAAATGTAGCTTTCGAAGGCCTGCCGCTTTTCAGGGTACTCATATAGCTCAAGATGGCTTGTTTAATTCGAGAAGAAACGCACGGAAGCTGAACCCCAAACCTCGAGCCTAACATCATGGGGAAGGTCCACATGACCGTCGTTTTTTCCCCGACGGTTCAACGGCATCATAAGGCCACGCCGAGGAAACGTAGATGTGAGCAAGTCTTGGAATGAGATCTCAAGGGAGCCAGACTCACACCAGGCGGTCATGTCGTCACCAATGAGGGCGAGCGAGTGTATGGAGGGATGAGTTTACAGTTGTTTCCACTCCCTTCTCGAATCTCCCACCATGCAGGAGTAGCGGTGCTGTAGAGAATCAAAAGCAGTGCTCGCAGCTCCAAACTATCCTTTTGGGAGCTCAAGTCGAGAGCGTATCGCTGCTGATTAGGGTCAAGGGAAATATCCTGGAGGTTGGCATTTCCCGGGGTTCCATGTGAGGAGACCGGAGAGACTCTTGGACGGCTGGATCATGTTGCAGTCTATACAAATGTTTGAAGGCATCATGAAAACGCAATAAACCCTGTCATTCAGCAGTCGTATTATGAGCCTGGTTGAGATGACGAACAGACACCTGACCAGCCCCAGACGCCTCGTTGCAAGACAGAAGGATCGTCGATCAGCGGCTAGACTAGCACCTTTGAGGCGTTTACCTAAATACACAACTCGCGGAGTTGTTAGCGAGCCAGCCAAAAAGAATCCGGGGTGGCTACGTGGTAGCAGAGCGCGAGAGCAAGGGTTATTATTGCACAAGAAAGCGTAACAGTAGATCGGTCGCCCTATGATTCAAAAGAGCAAATGCAGCATGCATGGGGGAAATTACAGCGGCCTTCGGACGTAGTAGTCATACTGGAGGAACATCCAGATCAAGGATGAAGCTATGTGGGTAGTGTCAGCGTGCTACACGGCTGTTACCTAGGGTGTGCTTACTCGAAACGATCACAGGGCTCATGACCCCCGGGTTGATCGACGCAGTCTTGAAAATTAGCAGTTCGGAGGAGAAGTGGGCAAAAGCGATCAGGTATGTGAAGAAGGCCATGTCATACACCCTGGAAAAAACAGATGAGGCATGCTTCCAACTTCGAGGGATAAACGTGCGTACACTTTGTCGGTAATGTGGTATGCGGCATACAGCCGCACGACGGCAGAAGTCAAGGTCCAAATGCCGAATGTGCGCGCCTGAAGGGGCGTGACTGTTCGAAGACACATTAGTCCCCTGTTTACGCGTGGAAGCCTGCTCAGAACTGACTCGGCTGGTCTGCACGGTTGTATATGCGCCTCGTGAACTTGAGGGTCACCAGATTCTGGACAGAATTGAACAATGCAGCAGTTGCGACAATGAGCTGCCAGTAGGCAAGCCATCCTGGAGTTTGGGGAAGAACTGCACAATGTCAGTT